GAGAATGGATTTTCTAGGCTTTGAACCCAGGGTGGTGGCCGCAGGTCAAAAGAATTGTCTAACTGAGTACTGTAATTTAAACTACAATATATATATATATATATATATATAATATTAGAAAAGACAATGGTAAAAGAAGGTATTCATTTCAACAGGAGTGCTAGGGGCACTCACCTTCTGCACTCTCCGGCCAACACTTTTACTTTTATTGGGCCATGTTATTCTGGTCGGCCAGAGGTTGCACTTCGAAACAAGCTTACGTGGCCCAATGAAAGGGGAAGTGTTGGCCGGAGAGTGCAAGAGGCGAGTACAGCATTGCTCTCATTTCAAAATCACACTACTCTTAATTTTCCTTGAATTTTTTATGCCCATATTCTTCTCATCCAACAATGAATAGATCTCAGAAAAACAGACTAGTCCTTTTTGACCAAACGGTTTGTCGTCAAAATTAAATGTTTAAATTTAATTGATTAAAAATTTAATTTTTACTAATTATTTAAAAATTTTCTCATTTTTTTGTAATTTTTTATGTTAAAAAAAAATCTGAGAGAAACAAAGATTATTTTTGTGAAGTATGAGCGGATCCCACAATTTAGAAGCGTATGAACTATGAAGTACCATAGGCAAAAAAAGAAGCCAATGTTTAGACTTCCATTAATAATATGCAAACAAACAAGGCACAGGGCCACAGGCAGCACATCCTCTCCGAAAAAGCTATGGTACTTCTGGAACATTAAATGAAGGGTTCTTGTTTGTCTCAATCATTGTTGTTAAAATTTAGATTTAAATCTTAAAATCTAGATTTAAATTTTAAAATCTTACGATTTTACGAATTTAACAAGACATTTTATGTAAAATTTATACTAAAATCTGAAATTTATAAAATCTGGGGATTTCACGGTAAAATCTAGATTTTATCGTGAAATCAGGTAAAATCTCGATTTTACCTTCTATTTGGTAACTGAACTTTTAACCTATTTCTTTTTGGGCTTTTCATTTTGGGTTAGTAAGTTTTGACTACATAATCCATAAATTAAGTTCATTTTTCATTTTAAAAGCTCACAACCCACACAACCCAACCACAAATCAACATTTTAATCGGGAATTCGAGACAAATTTGATTTAACCATCTAAAATTCTAAATTTAAGTCATCTTCTTCGTTTAATTTATTTATGTTGTTGGATATTTAAATTTTAATTAGCTAATTTCAAGTTTCTAACTCTAAATTTGATTTATTGTTATTTAATTTTGATTTTATATAATTTATTATATATTATATATTAAATTTTATAAAATCTCGATTTTACCGACTCGATTTTACCGATTCGATTTTACGATTCCGATTTTACCTAACCAAAACAATTTTAGGTAAAATCTCGATTTTGACAACTTTGATCTCAATTGACACGCAGACCGGTGAATGAGAAATAAAGCAAGACCACTGTAGAGACCCCCCCTTGAAACTATTACCGAAAATGGAAAAAATATTACCACTACCTCATAGCAATTTCAAAAAAAGAAATTGTTAACCTTTCTCCTATAAAAGATATTTTTACTTTTTAAAATTGAATTTTTAATTTTTTTTACATTAAAAAGTAACCTACATTATTACATTACATGTTTTACAGTGTTCGAATTTTTAATTTTAATTTAAATCATTTTATTAAATTAATGTGTATAAATTCAACTAAAATTTTTATTGTGATTGCACCAAAATCTGAAAGTCTAGGCAATTCAAGATTTTTTTTTTCTTAATCCATTGAAGTAGTTTAAGTGGTAAAAAATTATGTAAATTATGTTTGAAAAATATAAATTTAATTAGTCTCTCTATTATTATTTGAATCAGAGAGAACATATTCAGAATACCTCGCCCGCACCACCCTCAATGATAATTCATTAATAATTACTAATTAATTAATTTCACGAAACAGTAGCCTTTCGTAGTGGTAATGTGGTATAGGCAAACTATTTTTACCATCTAAGTTTTAATGAAATAAATTCATACTTGTATTTGGCATGATAACTTGTTTCTCTTTCATGTAAAGTCCCTAAACATGGTCTATGAATTATAACTATTCAAGATATTTGAATTATATAGCTATTAGATTTAACTATTTTTTTGTCCCATGCATTGCATGAATTATTCTTTAATTCTTTATATTAGAACTTACATTTTATATTATTTTTCATTAACTCTTAAATTTGATAATAATTTTTGTTAAAAGGTTCTAATTAAGTGATTAAGGATGAATTTAAAATTATTTTTCTTAATTGACAATATTACTTTTTTTTTAAAGTTATATAGAGTCATATTAAAAAGAAAGAATATTAAGAGAAATAAAAAATATTTATTGTCAATCTTATTCTCATAATCCAAAAAAAATTCATTCTTTTTTTTACTATTATTTTAATTAGTAATTTATATGATATTTTCTTTTCTCTTAATTATAGAGCTAAAGTTAAATAAGAATATAATTATATTTTTTTTCAAATCTTTTTCAATTGGTTTGGAATTATAATCAAATAATAAATAAAGCTAAATATCACTGTTATTAATTTATTTTCTAGTTATTTTAGATTATGCTATGTACAAGATTTGATTTTTTTTTTAATTTTATATCTATATTATGTGGTTTTCTCTAGTATATATTTTTATGATAAAATTATTTTAAAGAAACGTAAATTATATTTATTAATTAGATTGGTGGACAAAAGTATCAAATTATTTTTTTATTATGTATTAAAAAATATATTTTTGAATCTATATTGTACCAAAATATGTTTTTTTCACCTTAAGGTAATTTTATATTTTTAAAGCCCAAATTGTACTTGGGTTATATTTCAATTTGAAAAACTGAGCTCCCATATATTGTAAGTTTGAGTTTTAAAACTCTTTCAATTAATTAAAGTTTAATATTATTTTAATTTTACAACATTAAATTTTATCATTTTTGCTTTATCTTTGTTTTTTTTTTTTTTAATGGTTCATATTAAGCCTTGGAATATATTTAGTTGCAATAGTCAGTATTGTTTGACTAGAATTTAAAATCTTATTTATTTATTTATATTTTGAGACACACGATGGATTCAATTTATTGTCATCCATTTTATTTGATTACATTAGGTGACTTAAATTATTAGTTTTAAAATCTCATTTAAATTAGTTATATTAGTTCTATTTTAGTCTCTGGTAGAGAGTTTAAATAGTCAATACTTAACTCTTATTTTTTTTATTGGATTTTTTTTTATTTTTAATATTTAAATGGCTTTACCTCTTCATTTGTTAGGAGAAATTCATCCGTATGGTATTGCAAAGGGAAGCATTATTCAGATGGCCTTACTTCTTCAAATAACAAGAGAAGCTAATTA